GATTGGCAGTACAACGAGATGGATCTTGAGCAAATCTCCTAAGATGCAACAGAATAATCTCTAAATAGGGCCAGTCACTGCACAATGGTTCTACTTCATGCGTAGGTGACTGTACTGTGAAGATGTGGATGATTTGAAACTATATCTAGATAGAGCTTAACACTGCTTTACATAAATAAAGCCATGCCTGTATCTCCTGTGCTTCACATTACTTGCATCAACAATAAAACTCACTGAAAAACAGAATAATGATTACATAACTGAATAGTTCATGGTTCTTGTTTCAGTGCAAGTGTTGTACCAAAGCGTACTATGACACTACATAGACTACATTACTTTTTCCACAATCGAACATTGGAACACCATTGCCAGTCCCACGCTGTGGTAGTCTACATTTTTGACTTGTCAGTATGTATAAAATGACAGTTAGCTATTTCTCACAAAGATTACCAATATCAAGTATGAAAGGCACATTTTTTTTTGACTAAATATTACTTGTTACTTGCAACATGTTGACGAGGAGCTGCTGCTGCTGCTGCTGCTGCTGCTGCATTATTAGCCCGAAAGATGTTCGAATGTTGTTTGCGGAACTTTGTGGATATGTAAATAAAGTGTTAATCTGAAAACCAGAAAATCATTCAGTTTTGCATTGCATTATCACAGTACAAAAGTACAAACAAAATAAAAACATTGCAGTGTTGGCTTAATTTAGCTGCCTGCTTAACAAACTTGCCACCTAGGTCAGAAGATAGCATGCAGCATCGTCACATAAATTTTCATCCATCCACAATACTGTTGCTTATGAATTAAAAACATACAAAAATGTTCTGAATTATCAGTAAAATGTATGAAAACATAACTGTACAGATTATACAAATATACAGGACATAAGACAATATCACCATCATTCTTGGAAGACTCATCACACATTTTTTTTTTTTAAATCTCTGTATATCATTGCTTGTCTCTTAAACAATCACCAATTTTTAAGGTTAAATCTATTTGTTTATATATATCATGATCTCTATACAAATGCCTCATAGAAATCCAGTCAACTGAAAAAATAGTCAACACACTGAGGCATGATATGAAAAATCCTTAAAATTATGTACATAAAACTAGGACATCAACAGTTCTCTATTCAAAAGTATCAACAATTAATGGCAACAAATATGGTTCTCAAAACGCTAAACTTCTCACAGCAGAACATTATTCATAGAACAATACAATTTCTAGCATGTCCCACAAAAAACTGCAACATTATATACAGGCTATAGGCACAATCAATTAGTAAATATTAGCTAGTTGCGTTTGAACAGGCATACAATTTTGTAAATTAAGTACTTCTAAACCTTTCAGGGAAATAAAATCATCCTACAGTTATTAGTTTCACATCAAAAGTTTTAAATACACATTTGTTGTAATATGCCGACAAATTTAGAATACTGAATAAAAACTGTTGATGTCCTTTACAAAAATATTGCAGAGAAGAAAAAAAAAATCTCACTTATTAACAAACTTGTAAGCATCTTTGCTTTAAATACAATAATACTTCCTAGAATTTATACTAGGTGCATTTGTTCATGTTCAACATAACAGTAAAAACTGATAAAACTAAAACTGGCACAGTTAACTTTCACCATACTTAAAATAAAAAAAAATGAAAATAAACTTCAAACAATATACGCAATACCTTCTATCGAAGATGAATTATTATAGTACTTTTATTTGCTCCTTTCTTTTCAATTTAAGGTATTAATATTAAAAAAATAAAAATTAAAAAACGGTATTTAAAAATGTCTTTGGCAAAAACACCTGAGACTGTGCTGACCTTGTCAAAATCCTCAGGATGTGATCACAGTTGATTATGATCCACTACTTCCGACAGTTATACAGATCCCAACGCTGGAGGATTTGCTTTGATTCCTTGCTGATCGACGCTTTGCAAGAGCAGATTCTCCTGGTGGTGACAGCCCAAATTTCAAGCCACTGTCTTCTTCATCTTCTTCAATCTCTTCAATTTTCTGCCACTCATTGGAGCGTGACATGTATGCCTGGTGTTGGGCTACCAGTCGACTGTATGCTACTGCTTCAGCAGCAAAGTTGGCTAAATCTTTGGCACTGTTGTTTCTTTGTAGCACATTTGGTGTTGTAAGGGGATTAGTTGGTGCCTGCAATGAGAAAGATTCGATAAAAATAAATGCTGGAGAGTGAGATATAAAGGTACATACATACATATGTATGCATGTATGTATGTACCTCAACAATTACCCTACACAAATTTGGGTATGGTAACAAGCATAGTACAATTGACATGCAAATAGCAATTCCACATTATAATTAGAATTATAAGAGAATGGTAATGTTTTGATACCAACAAGTGGTTAAAAAAATCTTATTCAATACTGGCAACACATAATTTGTCAAAGAAAACATACCTGGTTGATCCATGGATGGTTGAGCAGTTCATCACATGTGAATCTTGCATGAGCATCTTTCACCAAGAGGTGAGAAATTAGATCTTTGGCAAGATGGGAAATATGGCCCCATTCCCTGTCTGGGAAATCATAACTACCTTCTTGAATGCTGTTCAACAACATGTCCTAGAGAAGGAATGAAGAAGAAGATTAAAATAAACTTACCAAGTGTATTTGCTTAATTATAAATAAAGTTTTATCTTCAATGCAAGTGTACACAAGCCAAACAATTATTTAATTGATCATTAAAATACATTTTGATCATTGACAGAGTTTGTTCAAAAAGTTGCTTATATCTGTAAAATTGTTATTCCCAATACAGCTGAAAAGCTGTAGATTTTGGTTGAAATGAATATTGCATTAATACAGAAATTGTGTCTAAAAAAATTTTTGCTATGGAAGTGTAAAGTAAATAAAAGTATCTGGGCGACTTCCTAGTGGCGTTGTTTACGATTGATAAATTATACCTCCCAGAGCATCATATTATTTACGTTTTGATCAGGGAAGTATGAGAACATACCAATGACATGTATGATGATCTGACATGCATAATGCTGTGAAATACTTTATTTTCAAATTTTCAGTAGAACTTATTTTCACGTCTGAGGAATAATAAGGTAAGATAGTGCGATTTTATTTTCACACAAAACAGTGTCACAACTTATTTTGTTCTCTTGGTGCATATAGATTTTATTTTCATGAATTGTGGAAAAAAATAAACGTTTTCACAAAATTGTTTACACTGTATAGTGTAACGCTACAATCTCTAACACAAAACAACCTTTTGTGAAAAAAGCGATATCAAATCCATGCAATAAAGTATTTCACAGTGGGTGGGGTTGTGCACACAGCAATGAATTGTTTTTAGTACCGTAAAATCTGTGTTAGAAGCCGCATCCCTAATAGAAGTCTCACCTGTTCTTTTTCAACAATTGAGAACCAAAATTTCATTGTTTCTCGTATGTGTAGATGCTCCAATAGAAGTCGCATCCTATCTGTTGCATTGTATCCATTTTAATAGAAGTCGTAGCTTCTATACAGATTTTACAGTACTGCACCTTCAAGTGTATTCAGTGGAATAATAGGGACTGGATGATGACTGAACATACCTGACATGAAAGACATGCCTCTCCTCGTTCCCATCCACAATCAGTTCCACACTGACCATAGAATGGTGGTTTGCCACTAGCATAATGTACAGTATAACTCCTAAACTCCAGATGTCGCATCTCTTATCATAGGGAGAGGCTTCTCCTATAAATGCATCAACCACTTCAGGAGCCATATATTCAGCTGATCCAACCTAGAATCAGATAAATTGGATAATTCATACTATAAACATATTGGGTAATTTTAAAATATTTTTTAAAGTTAAAGGGAAACTGCTCAATCCCATGGATTGCACCACGTGCTCATGGGTAATTAACTCCGCCTCTGTCCACTAAGTAAATGAATGCTCATTATGCTCGCTTACTCAAACTGATTGACATGCATTTTTGCATACATTAGCCGCCATTTTAAACTTGGGATTTGTACTTGTCGTAGCATGTTTCGACCGAAAACAACATTTATACATCTAAAGCCCAACCAGATGAGTGTAATCGCTAGCGTACATATTCATGCCCCATAGAAATCTATTTGGAATCACAGCTTGATCTCTAAACATGGCACATTTCCCAGAGCTTCCGCCACAATGTGAGCGGCCTGGTTCGGATTAGCATACTAATTGTGGTGGCCATCTTGCCCGTATTTATAGTATCAGTTCCCCTTTAATGAGCACATGCAACAGAACGGGGGTTCACTCTGAATAACCAGTCATTCATGAGACAGTTTGCTCTGGTTCCTTCACCCCTGAATGTATTCTGAAATAACTGTCGCCAATGATGGGAATAATTTGAATAAGATCACTCCATTCACTAGCATTTGTGAGCATCTAAGGAAACAGGTTGAATAACAACCCACTTGAATAAAGTTTAAATGTCTGACCAATATCACCTCATGAGAGTGTTCAATGGAACTTACTGGAGTTAGCAATTCTGGAGTTGTAACAGGCGTTGTGAAGGCACTGTTCATAGTAACACCACTTCCAAGATCAAAATCGCATATTTGGACTGGTGAAACTCGATCAGAATATTCACATAGTATGTTTTCAGGCTTCAAATCCCGATGAGCAATTCCTAATAACCAAAAAAAAACATAATACTCTTATAAGTGAACTCAATTTGGCACATACTCATGGAAGTCTATGTAAGCACAAACTAACAGTGTGTTTAGTGAACAATTTGCATAAAAATATGCAACAAGCAGCCTCTCGGCTGAGATAGCTCCGCTGTTAGCGATGCACATTTCAATTAAAGAACAGAAGATATCATTAGAAAATGAACAATATGG